GTAGTCCCGCCTTTATCTACTCTAGGGTTTTCCTTTCTTGGATTCATGTCCTGGGGCTATCTCAAGGGCATGCTTGATAAACTGTATCTTTGATCCAGTATGTCACCTTCTGTACTCAGGCTGCACACAAAAATGTATATATTTTTTCTGTACAGCTGTTATCACTTCTTAAATCTGTCCAATGACTGAGGGAGATGAGGTCAGGGAAAACAGAATGAGTTTCACTGAATTACACAGAAGCATTCTCACCAGTCTGAAGGGCTCTGACTTGTCCCACATATTTGGGACTTTCTTTTCTTCCTCTATCTGTGAGCTGATAACCATTCCTGAAGGCAAGTTTAAAAAATAAAAACAAACAAACAAACAAAAACCTATATATATATATATATATATATTGTTATCTAGCAAGACTTTTTAAGACTCTGAGCCCTTTGTATGGCATGGTCCATACTATTAACAACAACCACAACTATAAGCAAGCATAATATATGTAAGTCCTATACAAAGAACAGGCTAGGAAACTGTTCTCAAGTGAGGTTTTATTTTGAACCCTGGTTTATTGAAGTCACCTCAAGAATCGACATGTGCATTTTGGGCCAGGTTTTTAGAAGGTCAACACAAGAAAAGAAAAAGTGGGTGTTTAATGCCCTGGAAAACACAGTTAATGACCTCAATTTCTGTTAGAAAATTGGACCTCTTTGTGGTTGCTGAGCTCCATGAAAAGTGTGACCTTCAATTGTATTAAAGAGGTATAATCAATCATTTCTTTAACTATCAGTCAGTACTGGTTTATTTCTTAAGTGTAACTCTCAAACTGATGCTAGGTCTCAGTAACCTGCTACTGCCTGGCAAAACTAGCCTCATATCTCTATCCACGCAGCTCCCTTGCAGTAATGGGAGTTCAGAAGAGATACAGGGAATTAACAAAACTGAATTTCTAAGAATTGTCTAAGAATTGAAGATAAATTTTCTAATCAAATCTGCCCTTGAAGGAAAATGAACAGAATGTTGGTGACCAAAAAAAATTTGTCTTATTTTCATTTACATATTTTACTGCTTTTTGTTAATGAAATATAGTCATTACTGGACTCTGTCACCAAAGGTCATAGCTTCAAGCTGCTGACAACATCATCTATGGTAATGGCCAGACGTAGGTGCACTGGGAAGGGGCTTTTATAAAAGGGCAAGCAGTCAACACCTATGTGCTTGAAGTATTTTAGTGAGAAAAGTTTGAAATTTTCTTGAAAACCTTGTGAATGTACGCACATTTACCAGCTGCAGTATTCACACAGCTTTTCTGAAAATTGATCTCATGCATCTCAGCTGAGTTCAAAGCTTCATACCTTCATAAAAGGTTCATAAAAGTTTATTGACACTTGTGAGAACAGAAATAAAAAGAATGACTCACAGGTGGCATGATTTTCTTGGTTCTTTTTATTTGTAATCAGTAAGATATATTGTGATCTACATTCTGGCAAAGGTTTAGCAAGCAGAGTTGTGTGCAGAGCTTTGAATAGACACTGAGTAGCTGCACATGCAAATGAATGATTGCATATGTAGTTCAACATACGGTTTCTCCATTTACTTATGCCTCATTGCTATGCCTGCAGAGTGGGTAGATAATTTTGTATGTATGTGTTCTTGCCTGTGGTTATGTGTTTGCTTCTATACAATTCATACTTGCTATATGTATGTTACAAATTATTTAAACATTCATTAGCATTTTAAACATTCATTAGCTTTTAATTAGAAGTTCTGCCATTAGAATGCACATTATATCCTCAAGGCCACAGCTCCTAAGATTGATGCAGAAGTGCAGACCAACCTGCCCAAGCCATGTTGTGCTCACGAAGCACAAGACAATAGGGAAATATTTCATAGCCTGCCCCAAATGTCTGTCCATCTTGATCCTCTTGGTCCTATCCCAGCTTTTTGGTTTAGGCTGGTTAAGTATTTGGGAAATAAAAATATTGTATGCTAGAAACATTGTCTACAGGGGACCCCTGTTAATTACCTGGTGTGATGTCCTGCTAAAATACAGTTCAGGCTGTGAGCTCTATTGAACAGCTTTCGAGAAAGCATTATTTCAAGCAATTTTTTTGTGCCTCCATGTTTCTTTATTGCTGACACCCAGAGCCCTCATGGCTTGGGCAGCCAGTACTTCTGACCATGCCCTGGAGTGCACTTGCCCGCTTTGTAAATGTATCCTGGCACAGTCTCCCCCAGAAGCCACCAAACATTGTAAAAAAACAAAATGAAATCGGTCCTTTCTAGGTGAGATCTTGCATTTCCTTCTGAAAGGGCAGGCTGAAGCCATTCCTCATTGAATTCAGTGTGCCTCCACAGACTGTGCTTGTCACTTACAAAAATTTAATCCCTTCGATTTAACTAAAGTCAAAAGTGTTGACTTCTAAACACACTGTCTTGCAAATTTGTTTTTTTTCCTCCTTTCTTCATTCATTCTTCTGTCATGTCATCTGAACTATTTATTCCTTCTTGTCTTTATTTTCATCCTTTTCTTTCTTTGCTCTTCTTGATTCCCACTAGTTTAAAAATAAACCCTACAAAAAAAAAAAAAAAAAAAAAAGAAAAAAAGAAAAACAGAGAATTTCTCATTTCAAGCCAAACTCAGCCCACCTTACCTCTTTTTATTTTCATATTGATCTTGGCATGGGCATGAGGAGTGCAAGAGACCTGATTTGAATGTAATTGGATTTCTTCGATTTAAATTCATTTAGAATCCCAGAAAAAAACAAAAGCAGAGCACTTGTCAGTGCTTTATTCTTACATGGTCTGTAACTCAGCATCCAGCCTTTCTGTGTGATCTTACCAAGCCTGCAAGACCAAGTCCACTGCTGAGAGGTGGCAGGGACATGATCTATTTTGAATCCTCACAGCATGAGCACAAGCCACTGGGTCTTGTGTTGGGACTGGGGTGGACCTCTACTTGCTGTGACCACTGAGTATCAGCACTATTAGGCAGATGTGATTTAGGCAGAAGGAAGGATAGCTATGAGGGAAATGCAACTGAAAAGGCATTTTTAGGACTATAATTTTGGAATGTAAATTGGGAGTCAAGTAGGACTTGAAACCTCATCACGTGGCTTAGTATACTGACAAGTTCACTTTTGCCTCTATGGCTGGCTGGAAGCTGGTTACAGAAGGCAGGGTCATCGACAGCTTCAAGGACCTCAGTGGACATACGGTCTTGCCCAACTTTGTATTAAAAATGAAAATAATTGGGTTATGCAGGAATATGCCTCTTTCATATTTCCCCCCTTCACTGTTTTTTAGCTCTTTGTAAAAGGCAAATGTTAGTGCCAGAAGGAGACAGACTGACAGCACTGAAAACCTCCAGTCTTCTGTTAAGTTACAGTACACAAGGAGCACTAGCAGAGCAATTAAAAGCTCAAAAGCACCTGTCCCAGGATGTTTTTCTACAGAGAGAAAATGCCAACCTCATTTTCCTTTACGAGACTCCATGATGTATTTCAGGAGAGTTAATGACAAAGAGAAGCAAGATATTATGTTTGCTCACCAACAGTCAATCAAGTCAACAATCAAACAAAAAAAAAAAATTTGCTACAAATTTACTTTAGTCATCCTTTAGCTTATTTATTTATTTAATTTTTTGTTT